ATTTCGGAACAAGCGAGCCGGCAAGTATCAACAGAAGAACCAAACAAAGGTTTGTAAACACACCAGGTGCCGTAATTTACGTTATGAAAACGTGAGCAGATACGAAAATCCTCAAAGGAAAAACAAAATAGACATTCCAAGTTTTAAAGATTTTCACGCTCAGTTAGATTGCAAGCTTACGTATGGTAATAAAAATCAAACACAGCCCACACTCGTATAGTATATAAAGTTCAGTGTTCAAAAACAAAACAGAACAAAACAGAAATGATGAAAAATATAACCAAACGGGCATATCTGCTAAAATTCATACTAATCATGACGGTGTCTGAGCGAATATGATCATGCTGAAGTCCATCGCGGCTCGCTCATTAAAGCAAGCCTCAGAAACTACGTCGGCCGCCCTTCGAGTGAAAAAAACAAGAGCTTGCTCTGATATTCTTTCCAATGCGTTGAGTGGATGATGCCGGCTTTATTTTTGTTGTTTGTTGGATAAGGAACTAAAAGGTCAATGTCGATAGAAAAAATTGGGCAGTTCTTCGCGGGTTTCTTCCATATTTCAAAGAGAAGGAAAACTGCACTGCAGCTTCACAGGACGGAAACTCTGAAGCCAGGTAAATAAAATACTCACGTCATCTTATTTACGCACGGGCGTGCGTAAATAAAAATTTTTTTCATAGCAGCTGAATAGGACTTATACAGGGCAAGCACGCACGCTATGTTATAAAGTACAATTTGGCAGATGGCGTGACAGCTTTAGCTCAGCTCTATGCTCTATACTCTCATAGAGCACGCTCTTTCAACCAATGACAGCGTGCGTTATATCCGAACTTTATTATAATAATGAGTCTTTTTTTTTTTTAGCCACCGTCGCTCTATCGGCCAAGGGACCTGACTGGGTGATATTAATCTCATCTCTGACAGTGCTCTTCGTCATTGTAGTAATCCTCGGTATTGCTTGGTCATTCCGACGGAAGAGACGCCAGAAAAAAGGTAATACATGCATCATAATCTGTCAATTCCTTTTCAAAATAAATGGATGGCAAGAGAAGAATTTCGTTCAATTCGGATGCTCAATCTATTTCAGAATACAATTTTGTGTTCAAAATTACTTTGAAGATATAAAATGATCTCTAACTTGCAAGGGTACTTTCAATCAAGTGTCTAAACTAATCCAGGATTGCGTCGTTTTGTTTCCCTTCGCTATCTTCATTATTCAAACACAAAATGGGCCCTGCACAAATCAATCCAATCAATTTGGACAGTTTACCGATTTCCCTTTCTTCTGGTGAGCCATTGTGATTGCTTTAGCTTTGCTTTCAAGACTCTCCGATGAACTGCGCTCGTCTAAAATAAAACTATGCTATTGAATCCACACGACCACATTATCTCCCTCATTAATGACGGTAATAGGACCAAGTGGAGTCCAATTCGGTCTGTAATCATACGAGTGATTAACAAAATCGCTACTCACGACTATGATTGCAGACAGAATTGGATGATACGAAGTCCTGTGACTGATTAATCAAAACTATGAAAAAATTTGAAAAAAGAAACTAGACTTAAAAAACGGCAGTTAACTTGGCGAAATGCGAGGCAACAGCATGATGTGTTAACTGCCCCTTTAACTGTCCGATTACATTGTCTGATTACGCAATCAAGATACGGAAGAACCTGCCCGAAATGATTATGAAGAAATTGAGCTGTCTCCACCTGCGATGATGGTATGTTTATGTTTTCATTCAGTAAGGGAAGATTTCACTGATTTCGAATAATTAACAGTTATTCATCACCGAGGTGGAGGTAAAGATCCAGAACTTTCACTGACACTGAGGTGTATAATCACTGGATACAAGAGATGATAATCTCTTGTTTTAAAACATAATTATGCTTAAAGATCTACGTTAGTGTATTGTTGATAACGTGTCGATGGAACTGGTGAGGTCAGTGGAGGTCGGTGTCGGTGGAGCGTTCATACCTTGTTAGCCATTATCACCTATCTTTCACACATCCTTATAACCAGGTAGATATTGCAGTATTTGTTGAACTCCTCAGCATTTTCATGAAAGAGTTAAGGCTTGGAATCTGGACCCAGGGCTTATCATCGCCGTATGAAACTTTGATTAGTACCCCAAAGGGTCTTTCACCTCTTTTAAGAGAAATGATAAGGTTATATTTTTTGTCATTGCCCTCGTTCACAAATCGGTTAATAAATCTTGTATTAATTATACACGTTTTGTTTTTGTGCTTCCCGTAGGTGCCTAGCGACCGTGCCCAGACTCCTGTATATGCCCAAGTGTCAAGCGCTTGTTCCTACAGCTACACACACCCGTACACGCCAATAAAGACAAATAATGGGAAAGAACACGAGTACGTCAATCAGATAAAGACTGCGGACTACGAAAATACGTATATGCCTCTCACTAATCTTAAGATGTCAACAGAAGATTCTCGTGCATATGCATCGCTTTTGCCGTCTAAAGAGGAAGAGAACAACCTTTAGGGCGCCGGTGAATACACTTTTCTATGTTTTTATAAGAACCTTTTTCATCAGGAAGTTCAGGCTGAGATTGACCAAAATTTCAAGAACATACTAAGAACACACCCAGACTGAGAGTCAGTAAAGAACGGCTTTATTTTTCTAAATTTTTTTCGGTCGGAATATACAAATATATACATGCCTTTCCCCGATGCCCGCAATACTAACATGTCAGCTGACAATTCGCGCGCTATGCATCGCTTTTGAAGTCTGAAAAAGATGACGATGGCAGTAAATACGTTAATCAAATGCAGGCTTTAAGGCCGGGTTTCCCGAGAAATGATGAAATTTGATCAGCATTGGTGTGACTCTTTTCGTTTTATAGCCTCTCTGATGGTTTATTTTTTTTCTTTCTGTGATTTTCTTTTGCTTAGGGTGGTACCGTACGATTTGTAGAGAATTCCATAAATAGTACTTATTGCCTTTCGAAAAACCTATCGACATCACAGATTGCACTCTCGGTGGAACATTATTCGCGAGCTAATTAGCAGATTCTGTGGGGGTAATCTAGTGTTCCACCCAGTTTTTCCTCAGCCTTTTTGCGGCTTCCCTGAGAAACGAGCGTAAAAGAACGGGTAACTGGTGACGAGGATAAAGCATGTGAGACCTTGAACACTCAGTGCACACCCAGTGATTTTAGCCGGGAGACGTCTAAGATTTACAGTCACTGTTGCTTTTTAGTCAGTCTTTATGCGCCTTTTGAAGACAGAAGAGTAACAAATTTGTTAATTTCAAGTTTTTCGGAAAATTAATCATTTTCATGGGTTGTAACAATAACTCTTTCTTCACGGTTGATTGAGAAGCATTATTGTGTGAAATTTAAGTTTATTTGCTTTGTTTGGAAATCGAAACGAATCACAAAAATGATTTTCTTTTTGAAGTAGCTAACATTGTAGCAAACAGTGAATAATTTTTTACTAATCAGAATACATCCCCGAATTGAAATGCCTGGCCCTCTGTTTAATATTCAAGGAACAAAAAAGTATGACACATTGCACAGAAATTAGCGACTTCTCGCTTATATTTCAGATTTATGGCGACTTAAGCACCACTTTCAAGGGAATTCGGAGTGATTAAATGATGCCTGATGTTCCAAGTCTTCTGCTCCCTAGGCATGGAACTCCAGTGTACTGTCTGAAGATGATCACCAAAAATTTCACATCTAAACGTTAGAGCCTACGTTAGTAATGAGTCTAGCGCCTCTTTGTAGTCACCGACAATGTGCTGAGCTTCAGCAAGGCAGTGTTGCGTGAGATCTAGGGGTAGATGCAAACCATTTACAATGTATAATAAATAAATGATCATTTTGAACCAGTTTGAAGGTGCTTCTCTGCAATTTCATAAGGTAACTATGGAGTATTAACAGTAAAAACCTGGTTTCATAACTGCTCGGTTAAAGTCCTGACCCCGTATTTAGATGTCGCAGTAAAGATTGAGTTAAAATGTTCCGAGCACATAGCATCAATTTCAAGATCTGGTAATAAAATCTGGGCTTGGTCATGTAGAGTATTCTAAATTACCCGAAAAGAAAATGTGTTGGCCATTGTATGATCGAAATTAAAATAACCTTGCACCTCTTGGGACCTGCACTACAAGAAAATATCGAACAAGTCCAGAGAACCGAGAACCGTACTCTGCGTACTTTGCGTGACATCTCAAAGAACGACTACGAAGAACGCTGACTGACGACCAGTAGGAGAGGTTCACAGTCCTCGGTTTCAGTGACGCAGAATTTCTTAAGTTGACGCTCGCTTTTAAGCTAGCACACTGCTGGAGACCTTGCTTCCTTGTGCCAAGTCGCTTGGAAACCGGGTTATGACTCATCACCTTTCAGTGTCTTTCCCACATCTCTCCCCCTTATCAACAAGGCCGCGCGGATATCGATCGAGTAAAGCTTATAGACCACAAACCGGAAGGGTTTATGAGTTTCTGCTTATGTTGGCACCAAGGACTCTCGACGTGTCCTTTTCTCTGTTCTCTGCTACCATTCTACTCACAAAAAAATTACTTCTCTTCTCTTCTCTTAGCCACTATGCATGGCTGAGAGTACTGATCGGTTCGTACTTGCCCCTTGTAACTCTGGTAGACTCTAATTAAATCTGATCGATTGACTACGACCTCCATAGCACATGCTTCTATATTTATTAACGCTAGGCATGACAGAACATTCTGGCCAACTGACTTTAAAAGATTAAAACTTATTGTCAAAACAATATCCCAAACACTTTCACAAGAATGTAACAAATTGATATTGAAATGTGTTGAATCATAATTACAAAAACAACAATGGTCGTAATTTTCAATTTACAAAATTCTCATTTACTGACTTTGTCCTTACCGACAGAAGAAGTCTTTCAGGTAAACGGCCAAAATCGGCTTGGGGCAAATCTTCCAGTTGTCGATTTTCATTCTTAGCCGAGAGAAATGCTAACACCAAAGTATGACATACGTAACTTTCGGTTTTTCTTTTAGTATATTGATTTTCTTTCCCTTCTAGGAAAGTTTGAACCTCACTGTCTGCCGGCGAAACGGATTTTTTAGTCTGCCGTAATTCGAGAAAGCTCCGACAAACAACTTGTATTGAGAATCGTTAACGCTTTGCCATTCATTCATCAACCTGACCGAGTGGCGCAAAGGTGAGTGAAGTGTCAGCAGCTGATTGGCTATATCAACACACGTGAAAAAATACGATGTTTTTTCACGCGTGTTGTTACGGCTTTTCTCTGGGCCAGAAATCCCTGAAATCCCCGCAGTTTATGAGATAAATAACGTTATAAATGCATCCTTCTAAATTTCCTAATAATGGATAAAGAAGTTGTCGAACTCTTTAGCAATGCAGTTAATTTAGCTTTTAAAGTCAAAGGCTTGCCTCACTTCACTCCCAAACAATGCAACTTATCCTAAGCTGACGAAATACCGCAATCCTCCAATGCTGGACAATCAAGAAAAGGCAAAATTTAAAGTTAATAATCATCAGGATGTTTTTAGGAGAACACGAGAAGGCTTGGTAAATCACAAGGTTTTCTAATTAGTGGCTTTATCTTAGTACTGTAGGATCTTAGAAAGCGGTTCGGGTTTTTGTTCTGAACCCCGTGACATTGGCCGTGCCTCGATGACGTCGCCAACAGACTTGCACCTCACTCTCAACAACAAATGTCTTAATTTAGGCAAGTTAGAGTACATTCCACTAAAGTTTCTTTACTTTATACCTAAAAACGTATTGTTGAGGGCCCTTGATATATTTTAATCGCGATTAAATATTTTCCTTTGACTACAATTGATTTCTTTGCTTCTGCTTTTATCGGAGGTTTCACTGAGGCCTCGACGAAATGAACAGTTAGTATGAAGAATGTTTCCATTTGGGAAAATGTTTATATACAAGTTTAAATTACGGATAGTATGCGGGAAAACAGGCATTGAACGATAAAACGTGTCTTGAAAACCCATAACTATGTTAACGATATCCCAACAGCACGTTCCAAGGGTCCTTCGAGATCTTTAAGATTTGTAGTGTTAAGGGGGTCAGAACGATGAATTCGTATGTTTGCCAGCGAAAGGATTAACAATGACGTGAATTTATAGAACATTAAATAATTATAGCAGAATACAAAGTAAATGGGATTAAAATTGGCAGAAATTCTACGAACTAAGCAGCGGGATGGATCCGGAGGGAATTCAGGAAATTATCTCCTAAGGAAATATTGATTCTCTGGATGATCCATATGGAACTTAATCAAGAAACTGTGGCCGGAAATCCTTAATTGCGTAGAGGGGTTGGGCAGAGCGGAAGCTGAATTTTTATTTTAGGCATTGTTAAGCACCTAGTTTAGAGTTTTTTCAGAGCGACTAGGAATGATCAGCCTAACGATGTCTCAAATTCATCTCGTCATTGGAAGTTTCATTTTGCTATGTTTTGAACAAGTCATTTCTCAAGGTAACCATCCTCAGAGACCTTGGAGAAAATGGTCGGGAAGAGGAAAATAAAGGACGATTTCGGTTCGACCCGAATTCCCATCAAGTCAACTTTCCTTTTACCAGAATATTTGCACCTGAGTCTCCTGGATTATGATCAAATGATAAGTAAACTGTATCACATACTGGTATTAATCAAAAGGCATTGACGAACACTTTAAGCGTCTAAATATATATGTATGCTACCTTGATGTTTACATGGCTCCGAAAGCGGCGGTACAAAAACGGAAAAATTGGAATGAAATGAATTTAGCACCTCTGATGAATAGCTACATGCACTGTTAAGCAGCAGATTAGCATGTCATTCCTACTCGTTCCGTAGGAATTGTCACATATGAGATGCTCCACGGTAACTCACTGGACGGGAGATACAACACTTCACTGATTCAAGCTATGATAGTTTGACTGCAGGCTTCATTCTATCTTCTGGGTTAGGAATGCTTATGGATGGACTATTGGCCAATGAAGATCTTACAGTAAATAATGGACTGCGTTGGATTGGCTAGAATGTCATGGAAACCCCTAAACCTTAAATAAAATTCCACTTCTTAAGCGAAAGGATTTTTAATTCAACGACATTTCATTGTAACGTGAAAGATCAAATTCGCATCGAATTGTTTTCCAAAGTGAAAGTGAGTTTTAGTAAAAATGGTGATGAATTTGATACCATGCAAGACTACGCACAGAAAGAAATTTCCAGCCCATCATCATCATCGATAAACCGCAATGTTACAATTGAACTGTGTGGCCATGTCGGGAAGTATTTGATGTTCAACTTTACCTTCAACTCAGGCAAGTTCAGTGGTTGGATGACACAACCCCAGGTTACTTCTGAATGTTAAAACGAGAGCCTCTTTTATTTTGATAGGTTTTTTGTTTCTTTCACTGTCTGGTCGTGACCAGTGGCAAAAAAACGTTTTTCCATTTCCATTGGGCATGACATGACAAGCAGCAAGAAGTGAATCCTAACAAATTCTCATGATAAATTCGAT